GAGAATATTTTCAAAGCCCAATTACAACAGCACCTATATTAAATGGTATTAAAGATTATCTTAATACAATTATTGATGCTAGAGATAGGTTTGAAAGGTTGGTATTAGATATATATCCACAGACAAATATTCATGAAATTAATGCAGAAAATCAAGTAACAGATTTGTAAACCCAGTTAACGAATTTACAAACCCAGTTAGCTATGCTTCAACAAAACTTAACTCATAAACAACAAAGACGATATGATACTGAGATAGACTTGAATTTAATGACTATAGCTTATAATAATGAAGCAAAAGAATGTCATCACTAGTGGTTCTTATATCATGATAAAAATAAAAGGTTAGTAAATTAATTCAAGAAAAATTTGCATTGCATCTTTTAAATAGACAAACCCAACAGCAACTACAAAATTGTAAAACAGATAGGGCAATTACTACGCATCTTTTAAATCTTATAACAAATCGATACACCAAATGAAAAAATAAATACAAAACTCTAGAAAATAATCAATTACTTACTGATATTCAGCTTGATATTAGATAAAATAAATAGAATAAGTGGAAAACTTGGACACGAAATTCTGAACAATTAATTTTGAATTTAAATCAACAAATTTTTGCGTTTCAGAATAATTTACCTATAAATATACAAGCGAATATAGCATTACAACCACTATCACTACCAAATTTTTCAGGTGAATATGATGAGAATATTGATATTTTTATTAGTCAATTATCATCATATTTAGCTGGTACTGGTATAGATCTAGTTGCTAATTGGGATCAAGTATTTGGTATTCTTAGAGGTGTCTATATGGGTGAGCATTAAAATGGTTTGATTGAAAAATTCTTGGTAAGCGATGGGAACTTTACAATATTTTTGCAAATCATGGCTAGGCTAGTATGAGTATTCTTCGAAGATATACTATAGCATAGATGAATACTAGTAATAGCTTTAGAATTCCTTCAATTGCCAATAACTATGCAAATACTGCTAGCAATAATGCAATAATAGTAGGTGTTTCTATGATTTCAGCTGAAGCTTTTACTGAAGATTGGCACCTGGCTAGTGGGTGACTATCAGATAGACCCGTTAATGCAATTAATGCAGGTAATGGTAATCCTATAGTATTTGGCAACATTCGAATTGGTCAAGCATATATTGGCTCAAAAATGAATATCCCACAGTAATAAGTGAGAAACACAATTTAGTATATAGATCATTAGCTCAAGAAAGTGAACCTATAGGAGAATTTTACTCGAAACTCTTAAAATATAGAAAAATGCTTAATTTCGACGAGCAACAGATTAAGGGCCAATTTTTACGAGGTTTGTCTTCAGACTTGAAGAATGCATTGATACTGAGCAACCATTAGCTAATCTTTTTGAAATTTTAGAGTGAATTAAAATACAAAAAGCAGAGAAAAAATTAAAATTGGTTAGTAAAATACCCAGTCTAGTTAAAATCATTATCTAAATTAATAATACTTACACAATCTCAATCCATTTCTTCACAATCAGTTTCTTAGCAAATATAGCCATTACAACTATTGCAGATACCTTAACCTTATTATGAACCACAACCTCCCAGCACATATCAAAAAATGCAAGATATATTAATAAATAGATTTGTACAATAGATTACTGAGAAGGTTTCAGAATTTGTTTCTATCCCCAAGCCCGATTTGCCTCCAAAACCAGTAATAAAGAAAGTTGAAGTTGACTCTGATGAAGAATTGGCCAATCTCATGAAGAAGCAGTTGAAGTTGCACATAGCCAAAGCTGTTAAAAAGTAGTGAAGTTGCATCACAGGTATTCTATTTGCAATAAAACTAGACATAATTCTCGCAATTGTCCTAAAAATAAGAAAAAGAGCAGGTCTAAAAATAAATCCAAAAAGAAAGATAAGGTCAATATTGCTACTATAGATTCAAGTTCTGAATCAGGTTCAGATTCTAATACTTCTAATAATGAATCCGATTCTAGCTCTGAATCTGAATCTGATTCTGAAGAATCCTCAGCTAAATCTGAATCTGAAAGTGATATTAAGGTTCATATTACTAAAGTAAAAAAAGTAAAGTGTAAAAGCAACTCTACAAAATCACTATCTAGAAAGAAATCAAAGCAACCCAAAATCAAAAAAGAGAAACGAGATGGAAACCTATTCAAGCTTTGCAAAGAGAACCAGAAAAAGACCCCACCTCTAGTAAGTTTCAAAATAAATCAACTATTCTTGAACAGAATATTTGGTAAATTTTATTAGATATGCTTAAAAAAGTTTTACTTTCACACTAGTTGGAAAAACTTAAACCTGAAAATAAAAACTTAACTATTCCAGGTTTCATAAACCATCGAGAGCTGGTTCCAAAAATTCTTAAATCAGATAGAGAAGAGGATATTATAGATGATCCCATGAAAATTAATTTTGTCTGTAGAAAAGAGCTAGCTACAAATATTGCAACTGCAAAATATAAAATCAAATATTTAATTATTCCTGGCGCAGGGCTTGATTCTTGTGCAAATTTTCCAGTTATGATTGAGGATATTGCTAAGCGTGCAAAGCTATTAATTGATACAAAAGAAAAATATGATCTTAGTGGAGTTGCTACAACCCCTACTGAATCTATTGGAACTGTATACAATATACCTGTGATATTTGCTCCTGGATATACTATATATTCTGATTTTGCAGTAGTTATATATCTAAAGCCAATGTTAATCTTATCTAATACATTACTCAATAAGTATGATTATGATTTACTTGCATCAAAATGGAGTTAAAACTGATATGCAATGGTAAAGAGTTTTTTATTCTGATTAATATGCATAAAGTGAAAAATAAATTAGAAGTGAACTATATGACTATAGTTCAAGATAGTAAGTCTTCAGTACCAGACCAAATTTCTCAGGAGATAGATAGTGATGATCTGTTATTAAAAAAAACATATGAGCTATGAGGTGTTAAAAAAATTGCTATATGAGGTACTTGCATCCAAGGTTAAATTAATCAAATTCAATAAAAGATTGCAGATTTATAAAAATGAATCTAAAGACTTAAAAAAAATTATTACTAATATCAATACAGAGAAAGTTAAGATAGATTAGTTGAAATTTACTAAAAGCAGTCACTTCATGGCTAAAATCCTTTCTAATTCATGTTCAGCTTCTTCTGTTTCTTTACAATCACATTTGATTAAAGTATATAGATTATCTTTTTCTTTTACTTTTTTTGTTAGTTTATTGGCTATAACAATATTAGGTAAGTCAGAAATTCAAACAGACTTAGATCTTGATTTTCTATTCTTAACCTGCTTATCTGAAGTGATAATAGAATTTAGATGCAAAGTATCTTTATTAATTTGATGTGTTAAAAATACCGAACTCTGCTTATTAGAATTTTTAGCTATACTAGCTTGGTCAATATTTGATAAGTGTAATTCAGATATAGATAAATTCTGATCTAGAGTATCATTAAATCTGATATAGACTGATGCTATTCAACAATATGAACTTCCTCCTCTTTCCAAATTTTATAAAAATGACTATTTGTTATAGAATATTTATCTCTTAACTTTTTCAAGATATTAGTTTTGGGTTTTGCATCATGATATTGCATAATAAATTCATAATCTATTGAAGAGCATCAGATCACATACATTTACTCATATTATTTTTATAATATTCATAATATCAATAATATTAATAATTTATCGAGAAAAAAATATTTATATTATATGTATAGTATATATAGTATCAATATTTAGTACACATTATACACATAATATATATAGTATTGGTAATTAATACATATAATATGTATAGTACACATAGTACATATAGTATGTATAATATGGATAATTAGTATATATAGTATATATCTTATATATAGTATCGAGATTCAACTGTATTTTTTTTTATTATAATATTTATTATTTGATATGATATGTGTAAAAGATCTTGAGGAAGAAATATATCATATTCTCCAATCATCTTCTAAATTGTATAACTATAACAGTGAGTTGTAGGATAAATACATAAAGCAAGAGGAAAATTTTGATCAAGAAAGAAAAGGATGGGATCAGAATAAAAAGAAGTAGAGTAAAAAACTAGAAGATGCTGTTACCGAGAACCAAAATCTGTAGTTTGAAAATACTAGCAAAACTATTTCTCTTGCTAATTTTAAATCTGAGATTAATATAAAATTCAAGGAGATTATAACACTTCTGTCTATAAAAAAAATATTAGAAAGTAGATTAATATCAGCTCAGAATGACACAGTTTTAACTCAGGAAAAGATATTAAAAAAAGAATCTGTGATTACGACTCTCAAGTCTGAATTAGTAGATTTAAAGAATGAATTAGTTTTAAAGATCAATGAGATTGAGTATCTGAAATCAGAGGCTATATCGAAACCCATAGTTGGTAGAGATGTTGAGAAGCAGAGCTCCATTGTTTTCACAATAAAAAATATACAGAGCGAGAAACAAAGTTCTATAACCAAGTCTGATGATATATCTTTGGATAGTACTGATCTTAGTAAATATTTTATATGTGGAAAAAATCAAGCTAAAAAAATTAATGGAAATATTTTGATATCTACCAATGATGAGATTACTGAACTACCAAAAAATGGTACCGAGATTAGTTCTAAGATAAGTAGAGAAACTAATATTAACAAAATTAGTGAGGATATTATATCCCAAACTCAAGAAATACTAAACATGACTCCTTATCTTACATAGCTGAAAAATTATATACCCTCTTTGATCGAATCGAATTCCTAGATGAGATCTAGTCTTGAGGCTTTGCCTCTTCCGATAGGAGGAATGGAAGCGATTTCTGTCGTAGCAAGTAGTTTGATGTCACCTCTATCAGAATATATTTTTCTTATCCTGTTGATTATTGCAGTTATATGGTTCATTATATTGAGACATATATGGGAATTGGAAAGGAAAAGTGATCAGTTACAGGATATGTGAGCTGGGTAACCATCGTTTATTTGAACTTGGATTTTTTTTTTTTTTTTTTTTTGGTATTAAGGTGAGGTCTTGCTCATATCTTTATTAATAATTTTTAAAATAGTTACAATGTAAATTACTACAGCGCAATTACCAAGGCTTCCACTTGTGGTCAGGGCTAACCATTAAACCACTATATGTAGAGATTTACAATGCTACTACTATTTGTACCA